TTCATGGAGGAGGAAAGGAAAGCACCCAGATCTCAAGTGCCTATCCCAGGAGATCATGGAGTCAGCCAGAGGTTGACACTGCATTTAAGTCCAAGTCTCCTTCAGACCCCAAGCCCTCTCCACTGTACCTCTTGGCTGATCCCAAGCAGATAGCTCTCATTTCTCAACAAACAGAAATAAGGCAATGCGCAATCTTGGAATACAAATGAAGTATTTCTCCTAAGGCTTACAGCCATCTATTATAGGCAACTTATTGAGTAAACCTTTTAAGATCAAAAAAAGATTCTTAAAATTGCTAGTCATTATTCACAAACATACAACAAAGCCTTTCAGTTTTATAAATTTACATGGAGAAATAAAATTCATCCCAGATTAACTTTAAAATTATTCATATATATATGTACATATGAAAACATCCTCAAGGCTGGTTTTTGAAAAAGAAGGACACAAATATATGTCAAATAAAATAAAATTTGAAAAGACAAGAGTAAGGAAAACGGTCGTTAGATCCTTTGAAATTAACTGGAGAAATGATGGCAGGTATATGGGGAACCAGAAGGACACAATGATATCGAATTCCTCTTTATGGATCACAGGCTCTTACTAGTGTAGTCTTATAAATAATTGAAAATATTTTTGTTTTCTTCAAAGAAGAAGAAAGCAAAGTAGTATCAGGTTCTTACCTAGAGGGGACACACACACATATACACGCACACACACAACACACTCCTACTCATAGATCCAACTGAGAATTTGGGAAACAGAGCACCCCATTAGGTAACTGCCTTTAAAAGTCAATTCAGGGCCGGGCGCTGTGGCTCACGCCTGTAATCCCAGCACTTTGGGAGGCCGAGGCAAGCAGATCACGAGGTGAGGAGATCGAGACCGTCCTGGCTAACACAGCGAAACCCCTTCTCTACTAAAAATAATAATAATTTTTTAAAAATTAGCTGGGTGTGGTGGCAGGAGTCTGTAGTCCCAGCTACTTGGGAGGCTGAGGCAGGAGAATGGCATGAACCGGGAGGCAGAGCTTGCAGTGAGCCAAGATTACACCACTGCACTCCAGCCTGGGCAACAGAGCAAGACTCCATCTCAAAAAAAAAAAAAGTCAATTGAATGGGTGTACCTTAAAGCCTTTTCCCTCCAAAGATCTCTGTGATAGTGTTTGAAATCCCTCTAAAGAGTCCTCTAAAGAGCCCTGTGACAGCACTTTAAAAACCCTACTACCTACAAAGTAGATGTTTGTTTCATATTTCTTGGATAAATGATTGATACAGGATTGATTCAAGACAGGAGATAAAAGATCCTGGAAGGCCAGATAGATGACTATCACAACAGTCCAGCAAGAGGTAATGATGACTTATTTGGGGCAGTGGAAAGAAAAGGGCAGAACCAGGACCACTGCACAGGTAGAACTGACCTCCTTATTGAATAGTCAGCAGCTTCTCACAACCTAGAGAACTATTGAAGGCTCTCCATTCACTTCCTTTATCTACTTCTGGGCCCACACTCATTTTCCATGCAAACATTAGTTCCCTCCTAATCATCCAGGAAGTAAAACCTGAAATATCTAAATAATTAAAATCAATTATACTCTGATAATATTGGAGGCAGCTGCTATACTCTTCATAATATATTTTACAGATTAAATATTCTTTTCATATAGTCAGGTTTGTATAGATGAGTTAATATTTTAAAAGACATTTGTCTTCAGGAAACAAAAAGAAAAGAAATATCAGACTATCACCTACATGAATTCTGAAGGTACATGAATTTGCCCATTACATTTGCTACTTTGAGACATTAGAAGACTTCTCAAGAAGTCCAAGCCTTTCTGTTGAGACTGGTTCTTAGATGGAAAAATCTGATCTCTCAAAAAGATGAAGTTCTCCTAAAAATAGTGTGTCAGTTCTCTGTGAACTTGGGAAAAGTTGTGAAAAAATCCCTTTGCTCCCTCTGTAGACCTCCCATATACAAAATTTATGAGTGTCGGCTGGGATTTGTCCCCAGAGATTGCATGGGCTTCATTCTTGATAGTATGGACAACTTTTGGTAGAGGAGGTAGAGGATAAAAGAAAATAAGAGATCACCTGCAATCTTAGTGCAGACTCTAAGGAGTTCAGAGAAAGTGGAAGAAATTGCAACAAGTGTTAGCTCAATTCAGTAACCAAATTCAATTCAATTCAATTCAATTCAGCCTGATTTTTTGTTGATGAGTCTTACAATAATTCTTACATTAAATTGTTGTCATAAAATTTATGAAACTTCTGCTCTGTGCATTTGACTTGTTTTATTCAGCATTTCTTCTTTTCATGCAGTCCTAAGCGGTAAGGTGGCTTTCTTCCATTCTCATGAGAATTAGCACAAATAACTCTCATCCTTGTTCCCTGTTATCTCTTATGCATGCTTACTAGCAGCTGGTAAGAGCTGCTAAGAAAAAAAAATGCCATTCTAGAGATATAATTTGGAATCAAGCAGAAGTATCTGCCAGAGAACTAATCACATGTTTGGAGTCAAGTATTGAAGTGTGAAGAAAGCGAAAGACAGTCAAGGCTACACATGAATGTTTTTAAAGTAAGGCTCGTGTGCAGCAGCTGAAGAAGCATGTCCGTGTTCCTTGCACTCATGTGATGTGATACTTATGTGACTCATTTCAAAGTCAAAACTGACATTGTCAATACTCTGCTTTTTTTTTTTTAAAGGCTCTCACTCTGTCACCCATGCTGAAGTGCAGTGGCATGATCATAGCTCACTGTGGCCTTGAACTCCTGGGCTCAAGCGATCCTCCTACCTGAGCCTCCTGAGTAGGTAAGATTAGAGGTGCACACCACCATCCCTGGCTAATTTTTTTTTTTTGTTTGTAGAAACGGGGGTCTCACTTGGTTGCCCAGGCTGGTCTCAAGCTTCTTGCTTCAAGCGATCCTCCCACCTCAGCATGTGGAAAGGAAATATCTGAAATATGCTGGAGTGTAGTACCTGCATAGGTCATACTGGGTCAAAGATTACAAACAATTCCTCTTAAGGGCACTAAGAGGAATTGGTGCCTTTGAGGTCAACGTGCATTCCAAGTTCTAGAAATAGAGTTTCAACAAGTTCTGCCAGATGCCTTATCCTGGCAGCTTTCCTCTTATTATTCCCCTTGACTGCCAAAGAGCAACTCCCCCATTGCCATGCACAGGTCCGTGGCTGGTGCAATCAACGAATCAATCAAATAGGCAACAATTGACTTTAAGAACTGGCTCCATAGTGAAGGCTTCTCTGGGGATTGCATTCAGCCAGACCTCCCAAGGGCACATTGAAAAGGATTTGTACTAGGATACATTATTGTTCTCAGCTCCCAGTCATTTCTTTGTGAAAATTACATGGATTATTTTTGACAAGGGAATGTGAATTTGAAGTATTCTGTGGGAAATTTCATCTCTGCACTCCTCAAGGCTGAAATGATTAAGATCCATATGTAACAAACTTTTTCCACAATGTGAAGCAATGGAGTCAAGGATGGTGACATCTAGCGCTGTGCCACCACTTCCCCACTTGAATCCACGGTGGCTGCTATTTATCTATCATGAAGTTACCACCAAGCCCAGCGACCACACTTTCTCAGTCCAACATTCCAGGAATTCTCTTGGCATTAGGATGTGACATGAAACTTCTTTGCCCTGATTAGGGAGCTCTGGTTCAGAGCTGCCCCAGAAGAATTATCCGAAGAAAGTTGTTTTTAGGGCAGGATTCCTCAGCTGACCCCTGGCTTGCCCTGGAGAGCAAACCAAGCCTTGAAGTGGTTCAGAAACTAACCAGCCTTCAGGAAATGTCAGGACAAGCAATGATGACTGTCCTGGTCCCTATCCTAGTTTGTATTAATCATGAACCTGGATTTATTTCCAGAAAAGAAAAATGCCAACCTTACCTCTATTCAGATTTCCCTGTCACATTTTAGACTGTTCTATAATATTATAAGTCTGTAATTTTTGTTTTAGTGGAAAAGATAACTTTGTGATGAGTACTATTCTTCAGTAATTCAGTGAAAATTACTTTAGGAAGTTTCCTGTTCTCTAAAACTAATCAGATTCATGGAAGCAGAAGTGATAGAAGAAGAAATCACGTGTATAAAGTAGTTCAGTAGAGGTAACAGCATTCATTCAACACATACTTCTTAAGCGCCAGGCATTGTTCTAGCTGCAGGTCAACAGAGAAGAATAACACATGAGTCCTGCTTTTTCTGAGGGTGACATAACCACTAGCTACACCTGTGTAACCTCTGTGCAGTATGGATGATAGCACAACATTATACAAACCAGATGATAATGAGGCCACAATGAAGGAAGTGCTTGACTCCAGGAGTTCAGAGGAGTTCCTTAGTGGAGACAAAGCTGTTTAACATACATTATTGTCTTGTGTTACCCATTCTCAAACAACTCAGATACCCAACCTGTGCATAAAAAAACTGAAGGCTTTTAAAGTTTGGGTTCTAGAAAAGCTAATAGCTGAAGAGTATAGAGGAAAGTTACGTGGAGTGTACTTCCTCATGGCACTCGTTGTGATTCTGGTTTAATGTCACACTGAACCCTCTTGAAAACCTCCAGACTGAGTTTGTTTTTCAGTTTTGGTTTGTTCTTTTAGCATTGGCTGTATTCTCCCTCAAGTATCATGTACTCAGATCATGATATGGCCTGGTCCAAATGTGAGGGTGCCACTGTTTTTTTTAAATGATTGAAGCATTACTAGGAGCCTCTGGAGAATAAGTCAGAGAGCTGTCTTTGTTGGCCTTTACACTTGGAGTGGTTTGGCTTCTCATGATTGCAAGCTAACGAAACTATTCAGGATAAGCTTTGGCAGCCAAATCTGGAATGCTTCAGGATCCATTGAGATGATTTTCGCAGAGCTCCCACTAGTGCAGCCAGAGGGAGGATCCTGATTTAGTAGTTTCTACCTCAAGTAAGGACACGAGACCCCGTTCAAGTATCCAATGTGGCAACGCAGTCAGTTTATGTGTGAAGTGAGTGCTGGCAGGTGCTCAGGCATGAAGCCCAGCTACTGAGGGAGGGATTCCACTGCTATGCAGCCCAGGCTGCCCCCACAGCCAAGGACAGCCAGCAGGTTAAAATTTTGAGGCTTTTTACAATGACAGATTTTTGAATCACTTCTTTTTTTCTCTCTTAAAACAAAGAATCAAGCTGAGGGGCTTTTTGCTCATTGCCACAGCCTTGAGAAACTCCTGTTGCCTGATTATTATTTTTATTTTGGGGCTTCTCTTTGCTCAGAATTATCTAGCCCTGCAGGTGGATTTGATGATCTTTACTCCAGGGTTGAAAGGAGACTAGTATTTGTGCCTTATCATTTGTTAAAGCCCACCTAATATGGGAGCCACTCAGTAGCCACTCAATATCCTGGGAAAAAAAGCCTTGTAATTAGAGTCTGAAGACCTGGATCTAAGCCCTAAGCTCTACCAAGTATTAGCTGTGTGCCTTAAGGTAAGTGATCAAACCTCTCTGAAACTCAGTTTCCTCATATGTCGAAATGGTCCTTGGCTATATGAACAGATAGATTGCCCCAAACCAGCAGCAGTTTTAAGAGAGATATTTTTGCTATCTGGCTAATAATAAATGGAACATGAGGAGCTGCTTTAAGCCCTCATTTTCATTTTTGGAAGAGAAGTGGTCCAAACTTTAATTGCTTTTCCAACAGGTATAATACAACAGCTTATCTCCCTTAATTATTTAAGAAAATATTTTGCAACTAACTTTCCTGGAGGGGTTGGTAAAAATCATGTGATATGACATGATAAATCTCATAGGAGCCTCCTTGATTTATTTGGTCACTGTGCCAGACATTAACTAGATGCTGAGGACACTGGCACTGTCTTCAAAGACTTTATATCCTTGAGAGGGAGAGAGGCAACTACATATAAAACTGCAATTAAGTATAATAAAACTGTGATAGACTCTTCCATAGGGTGCCTAGAGGCAAACAGGTAATACATACCTCCTGTTGAATGTTCACGATCCCACCTCAGAAGTAGCCTTGCAAAAAATCGAACTTGAATTTCACAAGCCAGGAGTAGTGGCTCGTGCCTATAATCCCAGCTACTCAGGAGGCTGGTCTCTTGAGGCCAGAAGTTCAAGACCACCTTGGGCAACAGAGCAAGACTTCCTCTCCCTGTCCACTCTCCAAAATAACTTAAAAAGTCAGCTAACCATTAATCCACTCCAGCCTGGAGTGAAATACTGCCTCTAAAGAAAAAAAAAAGTAAGAACAAGTAACTGGGGCCCCACAAATTTGGATGAAGAGGAAAACAGCTATGAGATTTAAATATAAAAATAAGCCACAATCACACAGCTATGTAGTGAAGAAGGAGTATTTTAATAATCTTTGGATAACTGTTGAGTATCCTTCTTTGACACTACAACAAAATTTAAGTGACTTTCTTAAAGATTAGTTCTAATGTGGGATATGAAACCATACGAATGAATATTTTACACACTTTAAAATGTGTTGGCTATCTTTAGTTTCTAAAATTTGTGTACTCTTATGGATACTTTTTTAAATTTGTATACATTTATGGGTACAGGTATAATTTTGTTATATATTGCATAGTGATGAAGTCAAGGCATCTAGTGTACCCATCACTGAAGTAATGTACATGGTACCCATTAAGTAATTTCTCATCATCCACCTCCCTCGCACGCCCTTCACCCTTCAGACCCTCCACTGTCTGACATTCCACTCTCTACTTCCAAGTGTACACATTATTTATCTTGTAAGTCAGAATATGTGGTACTTGTCTTTCGGTGTCTGAGTTGCTTCACTTAAGTAAATGGCCTCTGGTTCCATCCACATTGCTGCAAAAGACATGATTTCATTCGTTTTATGGCTGCATCGCATATGATTGTGTTTATATACCACATTTTCTTTATCCAATAGTCTATTGGTGGACATTTAAGTTGATTCTATATCTTTGCTATTGTGAATAGTACCGCAATAAATATACAAGTGCAGGTGCCTTTTAAATATATGATTTATTTTCCTATAGGTAGGTACCCAGTAGTAGTATTGCTGGATAGTGTGGTTGTTCTATTTTTAGTTCCTTGAGAAATCTTCATACCATTTTCCATTGAAGTTGTACTAACTTACATTTCATCAACAGTGTATAAATGTTCCCTTTTATCTGCATCCTTGCATTGGGCTATCTTTAAAATAAAAACATGAAAGTACTAAAAAAATACAAATAAATACTTTGATAAATTTAGGGAAGAACATTCCAAACACGACAATTAAAATGGAATGCTTTTAAATATGAGGAAACACTTTAAACAAGAGATAAATAAAATATCAGAAAAAAATTGCAACATATATGGCAAAACAGTTGACATTCTCTGTACATAATAAACCATTACAAATTAATGCAGAAGAAAATATGCATTCAAATAGAAACACAGATAAAGGATATGACTGGGCAACTGACCAAAGGAGGAATTAAAATGGCAAATAAACATTGAGAATTTTTCAAATTGAATAATATTCTATAAATACAAGTTGAAACTATGAGCTGCCACTTTTTACTCAGAATAAACAACAGATGAAAAGGAATGACAATAGGGTGATGGTGTGGATGTGGAAAAGTAAGAACTGTCATATACTTTTTTGGGGACTATATTAGTTTCCTGTTGCCATTGTGACAATTTACCGACAACTTTATGACTTAAAGCAACACAAATGTATTCTCTTACAGTTCCGAAGTCAGAAGTCTAAAATGGATGGCTCAGGCTGTGTTTCTTCTGGAGGCTCCAGAGGGGAACCCATTTCCTCACCTTTTCCAGCATTTAGAGTCTGCCCTGATTCTTGGCTCCCGACCCCTCTTTATCACTCCAACCTGTTTCCCTCTGACTCTGACCCTCCTGCCTCCCTTTTATAAGAACCCTTGTGACTACACTGGGCCCACCCAGATAGTATGGGATCATCTCCCCATCTCAAAATCCATAACATAATCATATCTTCGAAGTTCCTTTTATAATGTAAAGTGACATATTCACAGGTTCTGGGGATTTGGATGTGGACATCTTTGGAGAAGGGGGTTTATTATTCAGCCTGTCATGGGAGTAAATTGGTATAAATTTTCTGGAGGAAAATTTGACAATATGTATCAACATCCTTATAAGGTGCATATCTTTGATCCGTGTATTCAACTTCAAGGAATTTATTCTATCAGGAAAACAACTGCACAAAGAATAGGACTTGTGTGCACATTGTTTTAATAGAGAAAACTTGGAAGTGTTCTAAAAAAAAGAAAAATAAATTTTTTGAGCTAAGGTCTTGCTCTGTCACCCATGCTGGAGTGCAGTTACATGATCATGGCTCGCTGTAGCCTTGACCTCCTGAGTTCAAGCAATTCTCCTTGCCTCAGCCTCCCGAGTAGCTGAAACTGCAGGTGAGCACCATCATGTCCAGCTAATTTTTTAATTTTTTGTAGAGACGGGTCTCACTGTGTTACCTAGGCTGGTCTCGAACTCCTGGACTCAAGTAATCTGCCTACCTTGGCCTCCCAAAGTGCTGGGATTACAAGTGTGAGCCACTGTACCCAGCCCAAAGCAAAATTTTGGTTAAATATATTATATCTCATTAAAATAATAGAATACCATATAGTCATTACTAATGATTTTCCACATTTGTTGATATGGAAACTCTCCAGTGTTAAATGAAAGTTCCAGGTAGCAAAAGAGTTTATGTAGTATGATTCCATTCTGACAAATATCAGAATTTAAATCTAAATATAGATTAATTTAAATCTAATTGATTAATTAATTTAAATCTAAATATCAGAATTCAAATCTAAATGTAGATTATGTATAGATTTGCGCCTCTATGTTTGCGTAATAAATAAGCAAGGATATGCCCAAAACTTCCAGTGCAAAATATTGTTGAGTGGAAGGATTTGTGATTTTTCCTTTTTCTTGTGGAAATTGTAAGTGAGAACTGACTAGGAACATGTGAAAAGATGAAGGTTTAGCCAAGTTCAGAGGCCATGAATCTGCAGCGAAGAGCAAGGGAAAGCAAGACCCTGGAGGATACTGGCACGTGGCCGGATCACAGAATCCAGGTTAGAAAGGGGGAAAAGAAAAGTCAAGACAGGTCTGACAAATCCGGAGAAAATGAATGGAATAATGAAATGGAAGAATCTTTCTAAAGAACATAATCTCAAATTCCCTACTGCTCACTTTTTGTAAAAATTAAGAAATATTCACCAAAAAAAAAAAAAAAAAAAGTCAGGAGAGTATGAAGCCACCCGTTTTACTTCTAGAAGTTTTTCCTATATAAAATCAAACAAGGAGAGAGGATTGTGTACTAAATGTAGCAGTTTGGCCTTTAGAATCATGTTCCTTACAGGGCATCAGTGTGAGGGCTTCACCGTTCTGCACATCCACCTGAGTTTTAAAACATGGTTTCTACTAAGCACCTGGTATCTTGTATACAGGGGATGAATGTGATCTTGTTTCCTTCTTGAGCTGCTAGAAACCTTAGAGCAAAAAATGAGGCCACTTTTGTAACTGTGCCTGACTCAGCAGCGTAACTTTTCTGTTGTCTTCCATGTGCTATCCTGTTTTTATTTTTCCTTTCCCTGATTGCTCTCTATACATACATTTTTGAGAAGTTGTTTTTCTTTATTTTTCAAACTAATTCATTCAATACTCTCCTCCAGGTAGAGTTTGTAGTTGTTTCTAGTTGAGGAAATTGGATTAGAATGAAGCCTTGTGGAATCCAAGAAGAACTCATTATTCTTTAGCTGCTTTCATCTCTAACTGTGTTAGGCATCCTCCTGCGATGGTCCCCAAGATGGCAGCCCCTGGAATCATCTGTACAATTTCCTCTCTTTTCACAGGTAAGGAATTTATAAATATAATGAAATTTTTTTCCTGTAATTACGTTACATTGAATAACAAAGGGGAAGGGATTACACAGATGTAATGAAGGTCCCCAGTCACTTGGCTCTGAGTTAATCAAAAGGGAGATTGTCCGGATCGGGCCTGATCTAATCAGGTGAGCTCTTGATAAGAGGGCGCTGGCCTTCCCTGAGAGATTCAAAGCAGCACAGATGCTCTCCTGTTGGATCTGTAGAAACATAATGCTATGCTGTGGAAAGGGCCACTTAGGGCTGCAGTCCTCCAGCTAAAAGAACTGAATTCTGCTGTTGGGGCTCAGAAAACAATACCCCAGAACGAAATCTCAAATGCAGCCTGGAAAGAAAAAGTTCTTCTCTGACCTCCTGCCCTCCTGTTTCTCAGTCCCATTCTCCCCTGAGGCTATCCATAGAAACCAGAACTCCTTTTCCCCAAAGGCAGCCATAAAACCCAAAAATGTTCCTCTAACTTTCCCTCTGTCCTGTCTATGTAAAAACTGGCCATAAAGAAATTATCTGACTTACCTTGTTTGACTGTGGATGATAAGACCTCCATTCTAGAGAGGGTTCTGTCCCATACCCAGAAGGAAGGAATACTGCACAGAGAAGCCAAGAAGAACCTAGAAAGACAGGCCTTGCTGAGTTTCCCACTGTTTATCAGCATTTGATTGTACCCTTTTTGACCAACCCTATTTTGACACAGCTGTCCATAATTTGCTGAACCTAGGCATAAAAATGGAAAATTGCCCCCATTCTGAAGGCTCCCGTGTTTACTTACATTTTAAATAAATTTGTATGCCTTTTCTTCTGTAAATAGGCTTTTATGAGTTTTCAACAAATCTTCAAGGGGCCAAGGGGAACATTACCTTTGGTCACTATACTGCCAACAACCTATGAGCCTGGAAGAGGACCCCAAGTCTCAGATGAAACCAGGACCTCAGCCAACACCTCAATTTCAGCCTCGTGAGATCCTAAGCAGAGGGTACACGTGGATGCCTAACTGACAAAAACTGTGAGATAATAAATATGTATTTTGGAAACTGCTAAACCGGTGTTGATTTGTTATGTAGCAATTGAAAACTAATATACAAACACTGCTGTATTTATTTGTTTTCTTCATTAATTACACATAACATATCCTCACTTCTGTATCCATCAGTAAGGCAAGGTTCTGTGATAAAGACTTACCTGCATTGTATGTCTGTATGGTTCCTTTCCCTATCCCAAATCTTAGGTGTGTATTTTGATTGATGATGATTGTGCTTGATCTAAGAGCTGCTGTGATATCCTGCTACCCCATTCTTCAACCCCCTCAGACACTGGGATCATTGTAGAATGACTCATAACATTCCCTGTGACCCCAACACATGTTATTCTGAGGTTTCTCAGTCTACAATACAGTAGTCCCTAAATAACAGGACAACTTTTACTATTGTAGAAAAAGTGCACGCAGAGGCAAGATGGTGGCTGATCTGCTGCAGCAGGGGAGGCCCTGTATTCTGCTACTGCCCCATACTGACCAGATGCCCATTTAGACAAGGTTTCTCCCTGCTTCCACTCACAGACACAGCAGTCTCTCAGACTCAACGTGGCCTCCAATTCCTTAGCATCCACTCCTTGTAGAAGCAGTGCCTTCCCCTTTGCAGGCCAGTGACGTTTTTTAGATTCTCAAACACAAAGTGTCTGATCATTCACCTTTTCCTGGGCTTGATTGACTATAGGAATACAATAGTGGTGGTGGAGAGGGGTTAGGAATTGGTGTCACCTTTCACACCTCAAAGGTATTCACCAACACTAGGTGGCAAGCTCTCTTTCTCTTTCACACACACACACCCCCCTCCCACAACACACACACACACACATTCTCTGGAAGCTCATCTCATCACAAATTTACAGCCCTGTAATCACCCTTGAATGACCCTCTTCAGGAGGTATTTGGGAAAGCAAGGAGAGAAGACAGGTTGCTCATTCTGTCACATGCATTATTGGATTTGAGCAATTATTTTAATCCCCACAGTAGAAACTTGCCTATATTTCCATATTGGTACAAACTCTTCAGTCTACTTAAGTGAATATCCAAGGAACTATTTAATTTCCAATTTAATAGTATTATGGGAAAAAAAGACAATAACAAAACAAATTCGAGTCAAATAAATGGTCTCATATAAATGGCATCTGCAATACCTTCAATAACTAGGCAGAAGATGTATGATGCTATCATAGTTTTCTTTTTAAAAACCACCAAAGCAGTTTCATCTTTAACACCCTACCTAAAATTTCTAAACGATAGCCCATCAAATTATATCCCCATTGGGTATATAATAGCTCCTTTCTTACCTTAGATACTTGTTTCACAAGTTTTTTGAAAAGCCTTTGCTTGAAATTAAAATCTGACCAACACACTAGAGCAGAGATAATTCCTCAGTGTCAATACGGCTTCCTTGGAAACTTATCCACATATAACCAATGCAGTTTCACTTCAGTGTAGAACATACTCACAGAGAAAAAGAAAATACAAATGAGATCACAATAATAAATATCCTATTTCTTATTTTTAAAAAAGCATGTCTTCAGAAGTGCTTTTTAAAAAAAATTTTACTTTAAGTTCTGGGATACATGTGCAGAATGTGTAGGTTTGTTCCATAGACATATATGTGCCATGGTGGTTTGCTGCACCTATCAACCCATTATCTAGGTTTTAAGCCACGAATGCATTAGGTATTTGTTCTAATGCTCTCCCTCCCCTTTCCCCCAACCCCCTGACAGGCCCCAGTGTGTGATGTTCCCCTCCCTGTGTTCACACGCTCTCGTTCAACTCCCACTTCTGAGTGAGAACATGCGGTGTTTGGTTTCCTGTTTCTGTGTTAGTTTACTGAGAATGATGGCTTCCAGCTTCATCCATGTCCCTGCAAAGGACATGAACTCATTCTTTTTTATGGCTGCATAGTATTCCATGGTGTGCATGTGCCACATTTTCGTTATCCAATTTGTCATTGATGGGCGTTTGGGTTTGTTCCAGGTCTTTGCTATTGTAAATAGTGCTGCAATAAAAATACATGTCCATGTGTCTTTATAGTAGAATGGTTTATATTCCTTTGGGTATATACCAGGTAATGAGATTGCTGGATCAAATGGTATTTCTGGTTCTAGATCCTTGGGGAATTGGCACACTGTCTTCCACAATGGGGTTGAACTAATTTACACTCCCACCAACAGAGTAAAAGCATTCCTATTTCTCCACAGCTTCACCAGCATCTGTTGTTTCCTGACTCTTTAATGACCACCATTCTAACTGGCACGAAATGGTATCTCATTGTGGTTTTGATTTGCATATCTCTAATGACCAGTGATGACGAGCTTTTTTTCATTTGTTTGTTGGCCGCATGAATGTCTTCTTTTGAGAAGTGCCTGTTCATATCCTTCACCCAATTTTTGATGGGATTTCTTATGTTTGTTTGTTTGTTTTCTTGTAAATTTGTTTAAGTTCTTTGTAGAGTCTGGATATTAGACCTTTATCAGTTGGGTAGATTGCAAAAATTTTCTCCCATTCTGTAGGTTGCTTGTTCACTCTAATGATAGTTTATCTTGCTGTGCAGAAGCTCTTTAGTTTATTTAGACCCATTTGTTAATTTTGGCTTTTGTTGCAATTACTTTTTGTGTTTTAGTCATGAAGTCTTTGCCCATGCCTATGTCATAAATGGTATTGGCTAGATTTTCTTCTAGGGCTTTTATGGTTTTGGGTTTTACAATTAATTCTTTAATCCATCTTGAGTTAATTTTTGTATAAGGTGTAAGGAAGGGGTCCAGTTTCAGTTTTCTGCATATGGCTAGCCAGTTTTCCCAACACCATTTATTAAATAGGGAATACTTTCCCCACTGCTTGTTTTTGTCAGGTTTAGTGAAGATTGGATGGTTGTAGATGTGTAGTGTTACTTCTGAGGGCTCTGTTCTGTTCCATTGTTCTATATATCTGTTTTGGCACCAGTACCATGCTGTTTTGGTTACTGTAGTCTTGTAGTATTGTATGAAGTCAGGTAGCATGATGCCTCCAGCTTTGTTATTTTTGCTTAGGATTGTCTTGACTAAATTGACTCTTTTTTGGCTCCATATGAAATTTAAAGTAGTTTTTTTCTAATTTTGCAAAGAAAGTCAATGGTAGCTTAATGGGAATAGAATTGAATCTATAAATTACTTTGAGCGGTATGGCCATTTTCACGATATTGATTCTTCCTATCCAAGAGCATGGAATTTTTTTCTATTTGTTTGTGCCCTCTCTTATTTCCTTGAGCAGTGATTTGTAGTTCTCCTTGAAGACATCACTCACGTCCCTTGTAAGTTGTATTCCTATGTATCGTACTCTCTTTGTAGCAATTTTGGTGCCAGTTCACTCAAAATTTGGCTCTCTGCCTGTCTACTATTGGTGTATAGGAATGCTTGGGATTTTCACACATTGATTTTGTATCCTGAGAGTTTGCTGAAGTTGCTCATCAGTTTAAAGTGTTTGGGGGCCGAGAAGATGTGGTTTTCTAAATATAAAATAATGTCATCTGCAAGCAGAGACAATTTGACTATCTCTCTTTCTATTTGAATACCCTTTATTTCTTTCTCTTGCCTGATTGCACTGACGAGAACTTCCAATATTATGTTGAATAAGAGTGGTGAGAGAGGACATCCTTGTCTTGTGCTGGTTTTCAAAGGGAATGCTTCCAGTTTTTGCCCATTCAGTATGATATAGGCTGTGGGTTTGTCATAAATAACGCTTATTATTTTGAGATATGTTCCACCAATACTTAGTTTATTGAGAGTTTTTAGCATGAAGGGAGGTTGAATTTTATCAAAGACCTTTTCTGCATCTATTGAGAAAATCATGTGGTTTTTGTCATTGGTTCTCTTTATGTCATGCATCACGTTTATTGATTAGCATATGTTGGACCAGCCTTGCATCCCAGGGATGATGCCAACTTGATCGTGGTGGATAAGCTTTTTGATGTGCTGCTGGATTCAGTTTGCTGGTATTTTACTGAGGATTTTCATATCAATGTTCATCAGGGATATTGGCCTGAAATTTTGTTGTTGTTGTGTCTCTGCCAGGTTTTGGTATCAGGATGATGTTGGCCTCATAAAACGAGTTAGGGAGGAATCCCTCTTTTTCTATTGTGTGGAATAGTTTCAGAAGGAATGGCACAAGCTCCTCTTTATACCTCTGGTAGAATTTGGCTGTGAATCCATCTGGTCCTGGGCTTTGTTGGTGGTGGTGGTGGTGGTGGTAGTGGTGGTGGTGGTGGTAGGCTATTAATTACTGCCTCAATTTCAGAGCCTGTTATTGGTCTATTCAGGGATTCAACTTCTTCCTGGTTTAGTCTTGAGAGGATGTATGTGTCCAGGAATTTTTCTATTTCTTCTAGATTTTCTAGTTTATTTGCAAAGAGGTGTTTTTGATATTCTCTGATGGTAGTTTGTATTTTTGTGGGATCAGTAGTGATATCCCCTTTATCATTTTTTATTGGGTATATTTGATTCTTCTCTCTTTTCTTCTTTATTAGTCTAGCTAGCAGTCTATTTTGTTAATCTTTTCAAAAATCCAGCCCCTGCATTCATTGATTTTTTTAAAAGAGTTTTTTGTTTCTCTATCTCCTTCAGTTCTGCTCTGATCTCAGTTATTTCTTGTATTCTGCTAGCTTTTGAATTTGTTTGTTCTTGCTTCTCTAGTTCTTTTAATTGTGATGTTAATGTGTCAATTTCAGCTCTTTCCAGCTTTCTGATATGGGCATTTAGTGCTATAAATTTCCCCCTTAACACTGGTTTAGCTGTGTCCCAGAGATTCTGGTACATTGTCTCTTTGTTCTCATTAGTTTCAGAAAACTTTTTTATTTCTGTCTTAATTTTGTTATTTACCCAGTAGTCATTCAGGAGCAAGTTGTTCAATTTCCATGTAGTTGTGTGGTTTTGAGTGAGTTTCTTAATCCTGAGTTCTAATTTGATTGCACTGTGGTCTGAGAGACTGTTCGTTATGATTTCTGTTCTCTTCCATTTGCTGAGGAGTGTTTT